AAATCCTCAGTAAAATCCCAGCCAATAGAATCCAACAATGCATCAAAAAGATAGTTTACCATGACCAAGTGGAATTTATTCTAGGGGCACAAGGATGGTTTCAACATCCGAAAATCAATGTAATCCAACACATCAACAAAAATTAAAAGAAAAAAGAAAAACCAGGGCCTCTCTGGTGGCGCAAGGAGTTAAGCACAGCACTATAAAGCTATCCCTGGCCAGAGAGCTACCCACAATGCACAGCAGACCTCTCCTGTCTCACCTGCTTCTCCCCTCAGCAGTGGATTTCAGTCAGTCTGGCTGTTCTGTTCCCCGCTCTGTCTCTGATGGATCCTCTCACACCCCCCACACCTCTGACCTGTACCCAGTTCTTGTATGCATAAATAAATAAATTTAAAAAAAAATTTTTTTAAATAAAAACCATATGATCATATCAATAGATACTGAGAAAACATTCAGCAAAGTTCAACATCCATTTATGATGAAGGTCCTCGATACACTCAGGTTAGAAGGAACATACCTTAACATCATAAAGGCTATATACGACAAACCCATAGCCAATATTCTCAATGGTGAAAAGCTGAAAGCCTTCCCCTTAAGATCTGGAACAAGACAACCATGTCCACTGTTACCACTGCTTTCCAATATAATACCAGAAGTCCTAGCAGAGCAATAAGAGAATCCAAATAGGGAAAGAAGTAAAACTATCACTATTTGCAGATGACATAATATATATACAGAACCCTAAAAACTCTACAGAAAAACTAATCGGGGCCTCCCCAGTGGCGCAGCAGGTTGAGCGCAACGCTGTGAAGCTGTCCGCAGCCTCTGCAGTGTGGGTTCAATTCCCGGCCAGCTAGGGGGATTCCCACATGGCCCAGCAGACCTCTCCTGTCTCGCCCACTGCTCCCCTCAGCAGTGCTTTGGATCTGTCTGCCTGTTCTGCTTCCCACTCTGTCTCTGGTGAATCCTCTCACGCTCCTGCGCCTCTGGCCTGTATAAATAAACACTAAATCTTTAAAAAAAAAAAAAAAAGAAAAACTAATCAAAATAATCAATTTAGTAAAGAAGCAGGATACAAAATCAACACAAAAAAATCAAACAGCCTTCCTATAAGCAAACAATCAATCTGAAAAATAAGAAATCAAGAAAACCATCCATTTTATAATTGAAACAAACAAAAAAAAAAATCCAATACTTGGGGATAAACCGCAACAGTTGAAAGACCTATACAAAGAAAATTATAAAACACTGTTAAGGGCCTCCCCTCGTGGCGCAGCAGTTGAGAGCTGGGCTGGGAAGTTGCCCACAGCCTCTGCAGCACCGGTCAATCCCCAGCCGCAGGCAAGGGTCCCACATGGCATGCAGACCTCTCCTGTCGCACCCGCTGCTCCCCTCAGCAGTGTATTTCGTCAGTCTGCCTGTTCTGTTCCCTGCTCTGGCTCTGGTGAATTCTCTCAGCCCCTACACCTCTGGCCTGTACCCCAGTTTTTGTAAGCATAAAAAAATCTTAAAAAAAAATAGAACAAATATTAATGAAATTCATATGGAACTATTGGGGGAGAAAGGATACCCTAAACGAACTCCACAAATACAGGTTTCTTGGACCCAACCCCCACCCCTGACCAAAGAGATCCAAGACGCCAAGGACGACAAATCCCAAATGTCCTCATCATCGACAGGAGGGCTGCTGGGAACTGTGGTTGGAGTTAAGCAGCCAGGCTTGGTGTCTAACCACACATGTGGGCCTTGGGGCTCACTTGGCTTTTTGCCAGCTCACAGCATGCTACTGAGACTCTAGCTCAGGGGAATCTGTAGGATGTGTTCACCAATTTATTTCCCTCTCTCCCTAAGTTATTCATTTTTCATTTCTTCATTTCCCCTTCTTTTGCAAATAAACCCTTTTATTAAGCTTTCGTGTGTGTGTGTGTGTGTGTGTGTGTGTGCCTGCAGTTGAGTATTATAAGTCCCTTTTAAGCGTATGGGTGAGGACCCACAGTCAGGCAACCCACCTCATATAGGGGTTGCCTTGTAACAGAACCACAAAAAACCTTGAACAGCCAAAGTTCTCCTGACTAAAAAGAAGGAGAATGGAGGTATCACACTCCCCGACATCAAACTATACTACAAAGCCATATTAATTAAAACTTTATGGTACTGGAACAAACACAGACCAATGGGATCAAACAGAAAACCCAGAAATAAACCCACATATTTATGAACAACTAATCTTTGACATGGCACAGCAGACCTCTCCTATCTTGCCTGCTGCTCCCCTTAGCAGTGTATTTCAGTCAGTCTACCTGTTCTTTTCCTGTCTCTGGTGAATCCTCTCACCCCCGCACCTCTGGCCTGTACCCCAGCTCTTGCATACATAAATAAATCTTAAAAACATACACACACACACACACAATGAGATACCACCTTACACCAGTAAGAATGGCACATATTAAAAAAAAAAAAAAAAAAAAAAACGGAAACAGGGCCTCCCTAGTGGCCCAGGGGTTAAAGATAGGGCTATCAAGATATCAACCACTGCAGCACAAGTTCAATACCCACATGGCACGGCAGACATCTCCTGTCTCCCCGCTGCTCCCCTCAGCAGTGGATTTCAGTCAATTCGCCTGTTCTGTTCCCCACTCTGGTGGATCCTCCAATCCCCACCCCCCACCCCACCCCCGCACCTCTGGCCTATACTCCAGTTATTGCATGTGGAAGAAAAGGAACTCTCATACACTGCAGGTGGGAATGGAAACTAGTCCAACCACTATGGAGAACTGTGTGGAGGTTCCTCAATCTACTAAAAATGGAGCTTCCGTAAGACCCAGTAATTCCACTCCTAGGGATCTAGCCAAAGGACACAGAAACATTAATTCAAAAGGACACCTGCAGGGCCTCCCTGGTGGCACAAGGGGTTAAGACGCAACCTATGAAGCTTCTGCAGCCACTGCAGCACGAGTTCGATCCCCTGGCCAGGGAGCAACCCACATGGCGCAGCAGACCTCTCCTGACTCGCCCACTGCTCCCCTCAGCAGTGTACTTTGGTCAATCCGCCTATTCTGTTCCCCACTCTGTCTCTGGTGAATCCTCTCAGCCTCCCCACCCCTCCACATACCTCTGGCCTGTGCTCCAGCTCTTGTATACATAAATGAAAAAAATCTTTAAAAAAAAAAAAAAACAGAACACCTGCACCTCTATGTTTACTGCAGCACTATTTACAATAGGTAAGACATGGAAACAACCCAAATGTCCAAAAATAGATGACTGGATCAAGAAGATGTGGAAAATACACACAATGGAATATTCTCAGCAATCAAAAGATAAACTCATGCCATTCGCAGCAACATGGATGGAGCTGGAAGGGATGATGCTCAGTGAAATAAGCCAGAAGGAAAAACATTGGATAGTTTCACTTATAGGAGGAATGTAAGGGAACTAAATAAGGACTCAAGGGGAAAAAATAATTATAATAACTTAAAACACAAAAGTAACAGGCAACTGTAAATCAGAGACATTCTGAAAGGGAAAGGGGACGGGGCGGAATCCAGACAGGGAGGGTGCACAGGGGCCGTGGCGACGGTGCGCGGTGCGGGGTGGCGGGGATTTTCTGGGGACTGCGCCTGAGAGGAGAAAGCAAACATTGTGCAAGAAGGAAGAATGATGTAAAATATATAGAGAAAGAAATGTAAACTACTTTCAAAAACCAGTGGACATCAATAAACACCTCGGGCCCCGAGGCTAGGAGGGCGGGAGAGGGACGGGGTAGGGGATGATGGCGGAGGGGAACAGAATATCTTTACTATGAACTGAGCAGCAGCAGTGACAGCCTCATGCTCACCTTTTCTCACTAACTTAAAAAACAGGATTAGAACATTTTACAAAAACCAAACTGCCACACACTCCCAAGCAAAATTTACAATTTCGGCCACTCCCATCTCTGAGGTGGGGAAGAGGCTCAGAACACAGTATGTTTGTGTCTCTGATGCACTTGCTTTTTTCCTAACAGCTTTTTTTTTTTTTTTAATTTATTTATTTACACATGCACTGGGCACAGTCAGAAGCGCGGGAGGGTGAGAGGATTCACCCGAGCCAGAGCGGGGAGCAGAGCAGGCAGAAGGACCGAAGCACACTGCTGAGGGGAGCAGCGGGCGGCAGGAGAGGTCTGCGCGCCAGGTGGGACCCTCACCGGTGGCCGGGGATCGAACTGGCGTTACAGAGGCTGTGGACAACTTCGCAGCCCAGCGCTCAACCGCTGCGCGACCGGGGAAGCCCTTTTCCTAACAGCTTTTTTTTAAAAAAACAGATTCATTTATTTTTGCATAAAACTGGCGTACAGGCCAGAGGTGTGGGGGTGAGAGGACTCCCCAGAGACAGAGTGGGGAGCAGAGCAGGTGGATTCACTGAAACACACTGCTGAGGGGAGCAGCGGGGAGACAGGAGGGGTCTGCTGCGCCCTGTGGGCAGCTCCCTACCTTAACCCCTAGGCCACCAGGGAGGCCCTTTTCCTCACAGCTTTCTGAGACGTAACAGGCGGACCCTGGAAGAACACGCCGCAACGGCTGTCAGCATGTCCAGAGGCACACAACCAACACCTCCATTACTTTCACGGCACTTCCACACCCCAAAAAGGAAGCTTGGAAACCCTCTATCCCCTTCCAGTCCCCACTCCCTAGGTTCGCCCATGTGCTAGCCTCCTGGAACGTCGCCCCATCGGGCCACAGAACGTCCCACTGCAGGGGATGGGGTCTTCCGTGCAGTCTTAGTGACAAATCCTGACTGCGCCCCTCGGCGCGTGTGTTTACGGGGTGCTGCTGTAAGTACCCACGCGTCTTTAGGGCCACACTCTCCGGCCGCAGAGACCTTGAGATCCAGCCCAACCCGCCCCAGGTGTGAGCGCTCAGGGGTCGCGACCCGCCTCCTCTAAGCGCCAATCTGCGAGCATCGGTTTCAGGTGGGGGTGGGCCGCGGCTGAGGGGCCCCCCGCGGGGCCCATCGCTCACCTACGTCCATCCACTCGGGGGGCAGCAGCCGACACTTCTGCCGCTGTTTCAGGTTGATCGCCAGCCACAGCGGCACCTCCACCGGCAGCCCCGGGTTGAACGGGCCCAGGTCCCCCTGCCGAGGGAGACGCGGGCGTGAGCGCCCCAGCCAGGCCCCCGCGGTCGGGGCCGCCCGGGAAGGGCGCGGTGAGGGGGGCGGGGGTCCCCTGGGGGCCGCCTCTCCCCGCCGGGCAGCGCGAGGCTCCCGGGGACGCCGGAACCCGGCTCCCCCGGCGGGAGGCGGCCCGGGCAGCCCCGACTGGGGGGCCCCCTCAGGCTCCCCGCCGGCTGACAGCAGGACACGCGCGCAGGCCCCCCGCCCCCCGGCTCGCGGGCACCTCGCCCTCCCCACGGCCGCTCCTGTCCGGCCTGAGAGGACCCGCCGGCCCCCGACGCCGGCCCCGCGCCGCTCGGACGCCCCCACAGCCCCTCCCGGCGCCCCCCCAGCGCCCCCCAGGCGCCCCCCCCGCGCCCCCCCCGGCGCCCCGCGCGGGGCTGAGGCCGCGGCGGCCGAACCTGCGCCCCCCGCGCCCGCCGCGCGCGCGCTCACCCCGATGAGGTAGATCTTGTCCAGGCTGAAGTTCGGGATGATGGTGACCGGCTCCTTCTCGGCCAGGAACTCCACCTCGGCCGCTTCCATGGCGGCGCCCGCGGCCGCCCCGCGTCCCGAGGGGTCGCCCGGCCGCCGCTTTCCCGCCACCGCGCGGGCCCGCCTCCCCCGCCGGAAGGGCCCCCGGCCAATCAGCGGGCGGCCCTCTCCGGGGCGGGGCAGCGGCGCCGCGACGGCCGCGCGGATTGGCGCGCTCCAGCGCGGCCCCGCCCACCGCCCCACCCCTTCCCCTCCCGGGCCGCCCACTTCCGGCTCAGGCCCCGCCCCGGGCTCCCGCCCCGCCCCGCCCCCGGGGCCGCGCACCTGGGCCCCGCACCTGCGCCCCCGCCCGCCGCCCCCCGCCTCGCGGCCGCCGCCCTGCGCGCACCCCCTCGCGGGTGGGCTTCGGGCGCGTCTCCGTCGCGCCCAGCCGCGAGAAAATGCATTCATTGGGGTGCTGCCTGCCTGCCCCGGCAAGACGGGGCTCTGGCGGGCGGAGACGGAAGGCGCGGCTTCCTCCCGCTTCGCGGTCTTCCGCCCTCGCTGCGCCGGTTGCAGTCTGTGAACACGCAGGTTCCTCCCCACCCGCAGCTTCCAGGGCAGGAGCTGCGGCAGGCGGCTCCGGTGTGCGCGCGGCCCAGCGCGCAGGTGATGCTCGTGGAGGGAGCGGCCCAGCGCGCAGGTGATGCTCGTGGAGGGAGCGGCCCAGCGCGCAGGTGATGCTCGTGGAGGGAGCGAGGGCGGAGCGCAGCAGTGCGGCGTGGGCTGATGAGCTCCTGCAGCCCGGGCTCCTGTGGAACGTCGCAGCGGGTCTCAAGCCCCTCTCCTGTTAGAAGCACTAGAAGATTCTAGGGGAAACTAGCAAACTCCTGGAGACTTGCGATTCAGGGACTGGGGTAGGGACAGGTAGCTGCATTTTAAGTAAGGCCCGCGTAATGCGGACGGACGGGGTTAGCAGGCCAGGACGCATGCTGGGAGGTGAGGACCTGCTGGTGGGACAGACAAGGGGCTGGGCTGGAATTGGAGGCTTGATCCTTTGCTCTGAGAAAACACATGGGCAACAGGAGGATTTCAGGGCGCTCTAATCCAGCAGGAAGCCGCCCCACCGCAGTTAAGCCCGTACTTTCCTTTCTGGCCCCTTGAAACCTGCCCCATGTAGGGGCCGATGGGAAGAAGAAATAAGGCCATCGTCAAGCCCCGTCCACTCACACGGCCCAGAAAGCTGTCGTTCATCTGCACCGCAAAGACTCATCTACACACGTGAGGCCATCTCCACTGTGTATCACTTACTGGGACAAGTATTTCTAAAAAGAAAATAAGAAAGAGGTCCCCCCAGATGCCCTATAACTGAGAGCAAGTGACCACTGAGAACCCCAGTCTCCTCGTTGGCAACGCGAGGGAAGCAGAGAAGGAGCCCCAGGATGTTTGGGGAGGAGGGGAAGCGGACGGCCACCTGGCCCCTCCTAAAATAAAAGCTCCCTCAGGCATCTGCAGAACGAGTGTGCCAACTTGTCTGGGTTTTGATTGACGGGGAAATGTTTTCTTGACTGGCAAATATTTGTGTTCCAAAGTTGGCGAGGCTTCCCTTCCTGATTTTCACAGCCTGGAAAAGAGCAAAGAAGAAGAGCTGGTGAGCAAGCCGAGGTGCAGAGAGTCCACAGCACGGCGCAGGAGAGCTCGCGGGGCCCCAGGAGCACACACCCGAGCCTGGGGTCCTGATCTTAAAAACTGGAGGTTGCTGCTCCCCAGGCTGGGCAGTGGGAGGACAAGGTGATGAGACGGTGACAGCTTCACATGCTGCCAAGTGGGAGCGCCCTGGAGGCCACGCTGGGTCACACGAGGAGCTCTTGTGTCCCTTCACTCACCATGATTCTCAACAGCCCTAAAAGGTGCTGAGCCCCCAAATGCCCGTTCACGGACAGGTAAACTAAAGGTAGCATGCCCGATGGGAGGTTATTCAGCCCAGATGCGGATGAAGCCCTTGTTCACACTACTTCGGGTCTGAACCTTAAAAATAGGCTTCATGAAAGAAGCCGGCCCAGAATCCACCTGTGCTTCCTTTCTGTGCCCTGTCCGGAAAAGGCAGAAACCAGATCAGAAATACTTGTCTTAGTAAGTGATGCACAGTGGAGATGGCCCTCACGTGTGTAGATGAGTCTGCGGTGCAGATAAATGACACAGCTTTCGGGGCCGTGTGAGTGGACGGGGCTTGACCATGGCCTTATATCTTCTTCCCATCAGCCCCTACATGGGGCAGGTTTCAAGGGGCCAGAAAGGAAAGTATTGGCTGGGGGAGGTGCCTGGTAACAACTTCCAATAGGGGCAGGGTTTTGTGGGCTGATGGAAATGCTCTGAAAGTAGATGACGATGGTAGGAAATATACTAGCAGCCACGAATTGCACCCTTTCAAAGGGTGAGTTTTACAGTACGTGAAGTATTCCTCAATAAAGCTGTTACTAAAATGTCCTTCCTCGGGCTGCATGCTCAGACTTTCCGACTGGAAACCACACACACAACGAGCTGCCCAAGAAGGCTTTATAAACGGGGAAATCGGGAAGTGAAGAAATTTGCCCCAGCCCAGTCCTGCCCTGAGAATCCCAGCATGTCCCAAAGCCCAACCTCAGGTCTGGCCTCCCTAAGTGGGTGTTGGAGTGGGGGTGGGGGATTGCTTCTTTACTTGGGGTGGGCAGGGCCCCCGCACCATTACTTCCTACAGTAAAACGCCTCCCCTCGGAGGCTGGGGTGGCCCGCATGGTAACGGATTGAAGGGTGGAGACAAAATAAATGGGGCTGAAGGGACAGCTGTCTGGAGACGAGGGGTTGCAAACGATGTGTACAGACATTCTGCCCTCAAGGAGGGGCATAACTCCCCACCCCTGAAGAGTGGGCATCCCCCCAAAGAGCACAGAGTGGAAACAGGGAAAATGAGGGCAGGGAGCGCCAACCAGCACCTGCTCAGCCAGGTGCTCAAGAAGCCTTGGTGGCGGCATGCACCCCAACAGGGTGGGATAAGAAGGGCACTGTTCCCCAAAGCTTGGAATCTAGCCCAGTCGGGAGAAAGCATCAGGCAAACCCCACTGTGGGCATCCTGCAAAACACCTGGCCAGCTTTCAAGGCCACAGAGGCTGAGTGACCATCACAGCCAGAGGAGCCTTCATTTGATGCCATGTGGGGTGTGGGGCCCTAGGACATGGGGGCAAGTGAGCACATGAGGATGACGTGGGACTTTAGCTAGTACTGGGCTATCCACACCGGCTCGGCTGCGATGCGGGGGCCGGAGCAGGTGCCTGCCAAGCAGTGCTTGGGAAACCTGCTGTGCTATCTCTGTTCAAAAAAAGGAAAAAAGGTATCTCCCATGATGTGCCAGGGACCCCAAACACCCCAGAACCCCTGAGGGGCAGTGGCCCCTCAGGAAGTCAGCATCTGACACCTTTGGCCCCTGGCCACAGGGCAGGTAAGGCTCGTGTTGGACTCCTGACAGTAAAGCAGGCCTTGCTGCAGCGACAGGAACGCCCTGTGGCCACACTTGTCAGCCCAGTGGCCACGAGAGCACTGCAGCAGAGGGGGCGTAGCAGCGCCCTGGTTCACCGAGGGCCCTTGGCGCCTGTGCCCGCTGTTGGGCCAGCACCCCTGCTGCTCCCCCACTAGGAATCCCCAGCCCGGCACTTTGGCCGCCCACAGAACTGCCCGCCCATCCTCCAGACGCCTTCCCCGGGGCCTGACTGCCCACTCGCCTCCAAGGAGGGGGCCGGACTAGGAAAAGGAATTCGAGCAGAGTGGAGGAGGTGGGTGAGAAGCCCACGCCCCCCAGCCCTGCCTGTGTGGACCTCACCTGGGCGGTGACCAGCTGAGCCCACCAGCCTCCGTCCTGTCTCTGGGGCACTTGGGCAAAGCAGTGTCTTGCAAGTGGGGTGTCACCCAGTGAGGGGGGGCTGGGATCACTACAGTCAGGATGGAAAAGTGGAATGTGGAAGGGAAACCACCTCCCGGGGGAGCTCTCTCCCTCACAGGGCCAGAAAAAAGGCCCCATCACTTCCCTAATGGCCTCCCCTTGCCCAGAGGGCCACAGAGCTGCAGCTCCTGAGACTCGGGCCTGTCCTCAGCTTTGTCCTCAGCGTGGCCTTTCCTGTCCTGAGGGCACCTGTCCGAAGCGTGGCTGGAAGGGGTCAGATGGGCCGGGCCCCAGGGCTGTTTCCCACCCTGCAGTCTGTCTCCAGCACCCAGCGAGGCTCCGGGCGGATGGGTCTCAGCTGCACAGGACCCTGCGGGCTTGAGCAGAGGTGGCGTTTCTTCTCCGCAACAGCCCCACCAAGTGTCATTCTTCCTGTTGAGTGTGGTGACAAGTGAAGCGAGAAAGACAAGCAGGGCCGGCTCTCCAGGGGCTGCTTGTAAGCTACTTACAAGAACTTGGCCATGATCCTGGGCGCAGCGGGGCCCATTCAAGGAGGCAGGTCTGGGAAGAACACGGATTTGCATTTGGGTGGAAACTGGGTGGGACTCAGAGTAGCAGCAGACTTACCTGGAGGCTGTGAGCAGGCACGGTGCTGACCTGGCCCCAGCCAGCGCGGCCTCGTCTCCGCCCGGAAGAGGGGCTGTCTGGACCCAGAGGCCTTTGCCCACCTGTGCCCAGCAAAGCCAGGTATGGGATGCTTCTGGATCCCAACCAGGTACATGCAGGTACCCATCTACCTGTGGCTGGGCCTGGCAGCACTCCCCAGCCCCGCCCTCCCCGGGGCCACGAGGTGCCCCCTGCGACCCTGCCTCCAGGGTGGGCGGGGAAGCCATCGGGCACACGCCCGCCACAGCCCACCATGGTGGATCCTCCGCGATGGAGCCTGGGCCTCTCAAATGGCTCTGACATGCTGAGAATACACTCGTGTGTCTTTTTGCCATCTGCTGCTGTCATTAAAAAATTACATTTCCATCTGCTTTCACACTTTTCTCCCCTCCCAGCCGCCCCTCCTGGAGGCATACAGCATGGAGTCCAAGTTGCCGTCCGGATGTCCCCTCGCCTCTTGGAACTTGGGGCCCTCTCGGGACACCCCGTGGGTAGGGCCACCAGGCTGCCGGTGGCGAGTGGAGCTGTCCATGTCCACCATGTATGGACGCTTCTGGCCTCCCGTGCGTGCACACACACCCGCACCCGCGTACACACACCCGCGTACACACGCTTTGAGGGAGCCATTTACAAAGCCTTTTTATTGTCGGTGTTAATCAGTATGTGTGACTTTGGCATTAAAAATAAATGGAAACAACACTACAGACATCAGTTGTCGTTTCCCCGGGATGCACTTAAGGAAGAACAGCCTCGAGAAGTAAGAATCAGGGGCCGTGTCATGGGTTTAAGACAATCGTCATCTCCACCAGCCCCCAAGAGGCACCCCTCCCCTCCCCTCTGCAGCACCTGACCTTTGATGAAAGGTCAAATCCACGCCCACGCAGGACCCGACAGCCCCTCCCTGCTCCGCAGCCAGCTCTGCGGCTCCCCGCCCACCGGCAGAAGCCTCTGGGGCCGGGGTTACTGCAGCTCCCCTGTGGGCTCCCTCACTGACTTCCCCATACCCAGTTCTCATCCCCAACTTGACACCGAGGAAACCGAGGCCGACAGAGGCAAACAACCACCTCAAAGTCAGCTGGCTGATAAGTGGGGTCCCGGGACGGGCGCGGACTCGGGCGGGGAAGCAGACCCCAGGAAGGCCCCAGCGGAATGGTGTGTCCGGAAGCGGACTGCAGGGCCCGCCAGGAAGGGCGGGGGCAGCGGAGAAGCAGATGAAAGCAGCAGCTTCGCACCCTCCATCTCTCGCAACCCTCGGGTCTCCATGGCTTGCCCGACCCGCCCCGAGATGAGCAAGCTGCAGCCCAGAGTGGCGGGGCCCCACCACCACGCCACCAGGGCAGCCTCCCTGCGCGGGCACCACGCAGCAGCTCCGGGAGAGGGTTTCCCTTGTCCGCATGCTCCCGTCAGGTCGCTGCTGTTACAGCCTCACCTCAGAGAAGCTGCGTGACTGTCCAAGGTCACACAGCACAACAGGGGTCTGGCTGACACATTAGGCCCAGCTTGCTCACACCTGCTCCCCTAAGCTCTCGCACAGCTCCTAAGAGGGAGTCTGGGGCTGCAGCGGGGCCCTGCACCCCGCTCTCCTGCCCTCCCTGGCAACAACTTGCACTGAGCAGACTCCCTCCACCCTGGACTCCCTTCTGGGAGACAGAGCCTGCTTGAAGGCAGAGGCTCCAGGGCAAGTGCTGGGCAGCGAGACTGCAGCTTGGGGTGCAGGTGTCACCAGGAAGAGTCCCTCTCCCCTTACTCAGCAGACCCCACTCTGGGTGATGACACCCTTGGTGCTGGCTTCACCAAGTGTGAGTGTCAAAGCCTTGGACTGGCGTGACACGTGGAGCCCCACGACCTCTATCCGGGTGAGAACATTGCTCAGGCAACCACAGGAAAGCCACATTCAGCCTGCTGGGGCCATTCCGCCTCTGGCTGCCCTCCTGGGGCCTGCAGCTCTCAGCCGTCCTGCCAGTCGCCTCGGGCACTAAGAGCCTGGGACATGTGGTGATCAGCTGTGCAGATGGCTGAGGGCCTGGAGGCCCCTGTGCATGGCCCAGGGATGTGGGGGCTCCCCTGCCTGTGACTCAGCCAGTCCACAGGGGTACACTCAGCCCCAGCCCTGACCCCCAGCACCCTCCTGGATCCAGAGAAAACAGGACCGGGACTAAGTATGAAACGTCACCTCTGGGCAGATCCGGGGCTCTGAGAATCCAGAGTGGGGATGGTCTGCCCCATGTGGCAACAGAAATGGCCACGGGAGGCAGCTTTGTGTGCTGGGAAGAGTGTGGGCCCTGGGTTTGAATCGCCCCTCGCCCCCTGTAGCTCATGATGTGGGGCAAGCGTTTTGACTGCTGGGTTCCCTGGGTGCCCCTCTGTAAAACCAGGCAAACACGGGCCTACACAGGAGCCAGACGGTCACTGTGGCTGTCCAGCTCTCCCCACCTGGCTCGCTGGCCTGGAGGCTGGCCTGGAGGCTGGCCCTCTGTGCCTCGGCCAGCCTCAGGGAGACGTGCCCTGCATGTACCTCCGTGTGCGCAGATAGGGAAGCAGATCCGAACCCAGCGCAGCCTGACCGAGCCCACTCGCAGCCCTCGGGGAGCCACGGCCGAGCAGAGCAGGGACTTGGCGCCGCTACTCTCAGCCGCAGGCTGGGGCGGCGCTGACAGGACAGCAAAGGCTGCGGACCTCCCAGACACAGACACTGGTCTGAGACCGCAAGTCCAAGATCCAGGAAGCCCCGTCGGGAGCCTGTGTCCCTGATGTGGTCTCTCCGCTGAGGCGCCAGGGACACCCACAGGGCACCTGTGTGGTCGTCTCTTACCCCCCAACTGTCCTGGGCACAGCACCGCTCCTCTGCCCTGCCCAGCAAGCGAGGCTCACCGTTTGTTAGGGGACCTTTATTTATAATGCAAAAAAGAAATTACAAATCCCATTTGGACTGTTTTATCGTCTGTAAAAAAACGGAACCGCTCCTTTGCAAGAAGTCCTCGTGCGTGCCGCCCCCGGGGCACCCGTCCTGGAGGCCCAGGGCGCTGGAGTATGTCCAGAAGAAAGCCTCTGCCTGGCACCCTGATGGCCAGCCCTGCTGCTCTGGGTCGGCAAGAGCCTTAAGAGTTGTCAGTAGGGGCCTGGTCCACTCCAGGGAGTCTGGAAAAGAAAGTTCTGGAAGCGGACAGTGCTGGGTCCTTGCTCATCATGCCGCAGCCGTTTCCCCACGCAGCAGGCCCAGCTGTGTGCCACGTCCCTGTGACATGAGGGGGAGGTAGCTGAGCAGGAGTTGGAGCCGACACAGCCCGTCCTGGCTTCCTCCTTAGGCTTCAGGGTCTACTTCTCCATCCTCTGGGCACGACCCTGCCTCATCCTGCCAGACTAGGGCAAAGAAGAAGAGTCAATGCCTGGATGAACCTCCACCCCACCCACACCCCTTTTCCGGAGAGCTCCGGGGCAGGTCCTCTGGGCTCCCCTGCTTTGTACCACTGCCCTCAACTCCCCCCATGCATGGGCGGTGGTGTCAGTGGATGCTGACAGGGGACCCCAAAGATGCTGAGTGTTAAAGGGACTTCTAGACACCCCCAGTTTATGCTCAATGGCTGGGATCATACTCCCTGGGCCCCACCCATCCTTGCGTCGGTCTCTTCAAGCCCAGGGCGGGAGGCCAGCACGCCACTGCCCAACCCTAGAGACGGAGGCTGAGGCCAGAGAAAGGACGAGTCAGCCAGGAGGCACCAGCAGGCCGGGCTCTGTCCCACCCTGCCGGCTCGGGGAAGCCCCAGTGGCCAGTCCTCCCGGGAGCCCAGCCTTGCAGGAAGGTGATTCCTCCTCCTGGCCACCAGGAGAGGTCACTGGTGAGGCCGTGGGCAGCGAGCCCCGTGCAGGGCATGGACTCAGGCTCGGGACCCAGCCACACCTGCCGTGAGGCACTGTCATCTCCTCCTTGGACAGCCGGGGAGACCAAGATGGGGGAGGCAGAACCTCTCCCTCAGTCACAGGGCACCCAGCAACAGAGCCGGGCCCTTGCTCTGCATGTCCCCTCTCCAGAAGGGAGCAGCTGCAGGCACGGGGAACCTGCCCCCGGGACAGGCGGGCTGGCTGGGCTGGCCCCATGCCCCGGAGCCGCTGACATGTAAAAGAATCTTTCCCGGGTTTTGCAATCGCCCTGGAGCCTCACCCACAGGCCCTGCGGGGCAGCAGCAGCCCTCCTGTGCTCACCCCAGCCCTGGGAGCAGGGGAGGCAGTGAGGACCCCATTCTCCGGGTGAGGACTCGTCACTGGCCTCTCTGCTCAGACTCTGGGCAGAAGCCCAGCTCTTCCTCCATCTTGCTGGGTGAGTCACTGATCCTCTCTGACCTCAGTTTCCCCATCTGCAAGCTAGTGATGAGGACAAGCTCACGGCCCCTAGGGGAGGAGTGAGAACTAAATGTGGCTTGTGAAGAGCATTTCACGGGTGCCTGGAACTGGAGTGTGACCCTATCGTCACCACCCAGCCCAGCCCACCGGGGGCCTGATGCCTTCCTCCAGGTCGCTGGCTCTGGGCAAGCTGAGATGCAGACTCAGCACTTCTGGAAGTCCCCCCTGCAGACGTCCCCCCTCCCCAAGTCCCCCCTGCAGACGTCCCTGAGCCCACATCAGCCTGCTGGCCCGTGCCCCCCAGCGTGAGCCAGGCGGACTCAGGAGGTGTGGCTGGTAGACGGAAGGACTCGAGCCAGGGGAGGGCATCTCCCGAGGGGTCTACGGCCAGCTCAGACCACACGGCCTGGTTGGGATGCTAGCCTGCCACTTGTGGGTGTGCAGCAAGTCTCTATGTGGAGCCTCAGTTTACCCATCTATAAAAGGGGAGTGAGGTGAAGCCTGGCCCTGACTCAGGCCAGCAAGCAGGGGCTCCGGCATCCACGGCAGTGGCCAGCGTGTGGGCCTCGGCACCCTCAGGCCCGGCTCGGGCCCCGGCTGCCTGACGGGGAAGCGTGTGCCGGCCGCTCCAGCGCGTCCACTGAGCCCGCAGGTGGGGCGCCGGCTCAGGCCCCTCCTGCTCCACCTCCCTCCTCCCTCCTCCCTGCGCAAGCAGCCACCAGCGGGTCCAGAGATCAGTCCAGCCCCACACGGTCTGTTTCTAGCTGTTCCGTCCAGCTCAGCCGCTGCGGCCAGCAGGATGGGGTCCCGAGCCCCGGCCGGCAGGGGAAGGTGATTCCATCATGACCTCCGTGGGGCCCTCCTGCAGGCAACGGCTGTCCAGCCACAGCTCACTGCAGCAGGTACCGGGGCGAGGGCCCCCGGGGGTGCACACGGCAGACCCCGCGTTCTCAGTAAGCAAGGGCACGGGACTGGAGCTCACTGGTGTGCACGGCAGGGCAGCAGTCTCACCTGTCCGCCTGGAGTTCCGCTGCAGCATCATGCCCGTGGGCGTCGGGGGGGTGATGATGATGTTGGGCACGTCCAGGTGCTTGTCGCTCAGGACGGGGGCCTCGTCGTGGCTACTGCTGCTGCTGACACACATTTTAAGGCCTGAGCGGGCAGGCCGCGGGACACACGCACACACAACAGAGAGACAGCGTGAGTGGCCGCGGGCACCGTGCGCCGCTGCCCGCCTGCCTCACGGTCACCATGAGCCCGACAACCCCTGGGGCAGAGGTCGGAGGTCCCCAGCTCACAGAGGAGGCTGCAGCCCGGCACAGCACCGAGGCGCAAGCTTGCACACAGCCCCAGGCTGGGCTCCCACGAGCTCACGTGTCACAGCACAGCAGGGCCGAGTAAGGGGGTGAGTCTCACTCCTGCTGCTCGTCAGGCCCGGCCGGAGCTCAAGGCCTCTGCTCCCAAATGACCCCAGTGCTGAGGTATCGACGCATCTCTGACAGGTGTCTACACCCCTTCCGAGTGAGGTCCCAGCGAACAGAGTGAGTGGGGAGGGACCAGAATGAGCTGGGGGGAGGGGTCTGTCGCCTGCAAGACCAGGCCGTGAACCCCGCAGCTCGCGCCTGCTCTGCGCTGGCTCTGCGCCTCTGGGGCTGCCGGCCACCGTGGGTGAGGACGGTCAGGCAGCCTGAGACACCCACGAAGGAGGAGCCGGGTCCTGCGACCCACAGCCTGTGGGGCTCCCTGACTTCTAGGTCTCCAGCCCCTCAAGCCTAGGGTGGACACACAGGCTGGGTCCTGTGACCTCCCTGCGGGGCCCTGCAGTGAGGTTATTCCTCATGTCCTGACCCACGGGAAATGGAAGGTAACAAATGCTGCCCTACTAAGTGTTGAGGTCTTTTGTTACACAGGCATATCTGCAACCACAATCCTGCTTCTGCTGGGGAGTCTCTGGGCCCCCCCAAAACCTACCATGCTGCATAGTTCTGCAGGAGGGGGCATCTCTCCCCTTGAGGCCATGAGCCCTGCCAAGTGATTTCTACCTCCTTTAAGGCAGCAGAACTGTAACAGGGGGGTCCCCAGGGAAAGAGGGGACTCTGGGCCCCCGGCCCCACCCCAGGGGGTGGAGCTGAGCAGGGAGGAGAGGCCGGAGAGGAGGCTGGAGAAGGGAGCAGGAGGACGGGGAGCCGGGAGGAGGCCGGAGGCGGCGCGTGGCGAGAGAGACACGTGAAGACGCGCGCGGGCTTCTCGGCCTCGGCCTGGGCCCGGGACGCGGGGACGCGGCGGGAGACACTTGCAGAGACGGACACTGGGGAGAGCCCGCGGGGAGCCCGGCAGTGGCAGCCTTTGTCCTGATGTCGAGTTCGCGCTTTTCCTTGCAGATGGCCTGGCCCCTCTGTCCCTTCCTGCGGGCCCCGCCGGCAGGTGCCTCGGACGTGTGGCAGCTTTCGGGCCTCGGGCACCCCGCTTCGGGCCAACCCTGCTTGACTGGGCATTTACCCCCGAGAAGGGTGCCTTTGGATGCTTGATTTAAAACTGTATTCTCTATTCTTTCCCTTTATCGCTCACTAACTGCATTAAAGCTCCTCTCCCTCAAAGGTCGAATGCACGGGAATATGTTTTAACTTGATGCGGCGGATGGCAGAACATAGAAAAGGCAGGCTTAGGGGTCCCGGGGTGCCCCTCACCCCGCCCAGCTCTTCTGTGGGCTCACATAAAAGCCCTGAATGTGAAACAAAAAAGGCAGCTGCCAGAAGGGACCCCGTCATCCGTCGCGACTGATGAGCCTTTACGGAGCAGCGGACAGGCCCTCCCTCTGGGGTCTTTGCCGTTACCCAGTGAGGCGCGACGGCAATCAGCCCACCGCAGAAGCGCCAGCAGCGATGCAGAGAGAACTTTGCAGCTCAACAGCGCTGTGATGGAGCCAGGCTCTGGACCGACCCAGGCCCACCTCCTCCCAAAGCCAGGGCCTCCTGCAACCGCAGCGCTGGAACAAGCCAGGAGTCTTTCCTTTATTATTATTATTTTTGTTTGTGTGTGTGTGTGTCTGAATAGAAGAACTAGGGTGTAGGGCAGAGGTGCAGGGGGTGAGAGGACTCACCCGAGACAGAGTGGGGAGCAGAACAGGCGGATCTACCGAAATTCACTGCTGAGGGGAGCAGCGGGGAGATAAGAGGGGTCTGCTGCGCCCTGTGGGTCACTCCCTGGCTGGGGTTGAACACAGTCCATGGTGGTGATAGTGCTGAGACTGGACCCCTAAGCCACCAGGAAGGCCCAAGCCAGGGGTCTTTCTGACAGGACAGGCCACTCTGCTGGCCCTCTGGTCCGTGCTGCGACTCCTCCACTCTGCCTCAGTGGTGGGGAACCTGCCCCAGGAAAGCCTGATTTACAAACAGGTGGGTGGACTTGGCCAAGGAATACAGTTAGCCAAGCCCTGCTCCATCATGCACCTGCCTGTCCTGGGGGCCTGACCGGTGATAACAGGACCTCCCAAGCCTGAGGTTAAGCTGAAAACAAAAACAAACAACCCCCCCCCCCCCCCCGCAGGTGGCAGCTTCTCTCTGGAAGGGCTGTGGGCGCTGGGAAATGCAGGAACTCAGGAAAGCACTAGGCCCAGCCGGAGAGGGGCCCGGAGGGCACGTCCCTGCCTGTGGCCTCTGTGACCCGCCATGAAGAACAGCTGTCCCCAGCCAGCAACAGAAGGAAGATCCGATCACTGTCTCCTGGACAGTGAGGGAGCCTCCCTGCTCAGTGTCCCAAGGCGCTTCCTGGGTGACTATCCCAACTTCTAAAACCAGATGCTAATGGGGAGCAGCCACCTCCTCCCAGGGCCGCAGCACATTGAGGGGCTGGGGACAAAGCCCACGCCCTCACTGGAGAAGCATTAGGTTACCCCTGGGCCGGTGGGGGGCCCAAAGGAGGGGGTGGGAGAGAGGAGGAGGGCAGTATCAAGTCCCGGGGTAACCAGCCTGGAGCTGAGGGTGGCGGAGCAGGACGCAAAAGCCCTCTGGAGACGCAGACGTTGGGGATTAGAAACAACTACGAACCCTCCCCAAACGAGGAGCTCGTTTGTGCGCCAGGATGGTTATTTGTTAGTTATGTGCCCGCCTCAGGCCATTAAAAGCCTATTTCCTGACCGGTAGGGCTTGGCTGGGATTCCAGGGGGCCAGCACCCTGGAAATCTCAGGGTGGGCTGAGAAGCCTTCCGGGTGGGTGGCCGTCACCCCTCTTGGCTGGGCCCTGCTTGGGGACCCCCTGGAGACAGACAAGCCAGGCCTGGAACACCCGCCCCCGGGCCGGATAAACACGTTAAAAACTAGCCCCACAGCCTTGGTTTTCCCTCCAGGCTGCCGCTGCGACCTCCTGGGACGTTTAAAGAATAAGGAAGAGGCGCCTCGCCCCGGAAGGAAGCCGGGGCGCAGAGCCTCCAGGCAGGTTCAAAGCCAGGGCTGGGGCTGGGGCTGCGGCTGGGCACAGGCCGGCGGCGCTGAGCTCGAGGGCGCCCTCTGCTGGGCGCTTCACAACGGCGCGGGGGGCCGCCTGGAGCCGCCCTGAGGCCGCGGGGACCCCCCCCGCGCCCCAAGCCACGCGCCGAACGCGGCCCTGCGGGGCCCGCAACGCGGGGCAGGAGAAGCTGCACCTGGCGCGGCCCGCCCGGCCAGGGCTCCGCGCCGTGGCGCCCCTTGCAAAATGGGGTGAACAACAGCCCCTCCTCCAGGGGGCGCTGCGGGGCGCGGCCGGGACCTCTCCAGCCCCCGCGGCCCCTGCGCCCCGCGCGCCTCTCCCTAGGGGACGGGGGGAGGGGGCGGCTCTGCGCCCCTCCTGCGCCTCCTCCCCGCCTGGACAACCGGGGCGCAAAGACTCCAGGACGGGACAGAAGCGCCCCAGACCCAGCCCTCGGGGGGGCCCCCCACGCCGAGCGGGGCGTCCTCTGCGGCCCCGACCCCAGCGAGGCGCGGCCCAGCGCGCTCGGCCGGGAGGAGCAGGGGGGCTGGGCAGGGCGGACCCCGAGGGCCCGCCCGCCCGCAGCCGCGAGGCGGGGCGCCCGCAGGTGGCCAGCGGCCCCGGGGCGGGAGTGGCCAGCGGCCCCGGGGCGGGAGTGGCCAGCGGCCCCGGGGCGGGAGTGGCCAGCTCGGGCGGGCTGCGCGGGTCCAGCGCGGCGCTGTCGGAAAACAAACCAGCAGGCGCCTCCCTGGCGCAAGGGGTTCAGCACCGCACTAGGAGCAGCCCGCCGCCCCTGCAGCGCGAGTTCGATCCCCGGCCGGCCGGCGGCAGCCCACAGGGCGCAGCTGCTCCCCTCAGCAGTGGGTTTCAGTGGCTCCGCGGCTCCGCCCCCCACTCTGTCTCTGGGGAGTCCTCTCACCCCCCGCACCTCTGGCCTGCACCCCAGCTCTTGGATGCATAGATAAATAAATCTTAAAAAAAAAAAAAAAAAAGCAGGGCCTCCCCGGTGGCGCAGCGGCTGAGCGCTGGGCTGCGGGTCCCCGGCCGCCGTGAGGGTCCCACGGAAGAAAAAAAAAAGCAAACGCCTCCTGAGAGCTCCGCGGCACGTGGGCTTTTTTTTTAATTCCAGGTAAGGGGTTGCATTATTACGGCCGAGGCCAGGGCCGCACCGCGGCTTCACCTTCCCGGGGCAGCCAATGGCGACGGCACTGGATGTTCTAAATCTCTTTTTAATTAAGAAAAAAGCCCCACCTGCGTCAGAGATGAGCCGCTGGGGAGCGGCGGGGGAGGGGCGGGGAGCCCGAGCGGGTGGGGCGCCCCGTCTTCCTGCCCTCGCACTGACCCAGCTGCCCGCCCCCCCCAGCCCTGGCAGCGGCGCCCCTGGAGGTCCCGGACCTCCGCCCCAGGGCAAGGGAGCAGCGGGCTTCGCCCCCCACTGGGTGGTCGGGGGTGGGGTCCCAGTGGGGTCCCCCACTGGGTGGTCCGGCCCCCAGCCTGGGGTCTGTGAAAGTGCCTCAGGGCAGCGCCAGCAGAGCCTGCGCAAGAGGCAGGGGCGCACGCGGGGGCGGGTGGGGTGGGAGAGGGGGTGCGGGCAGCAGCGCAGCTCTGGGCCAGGGAGGGTGCAGAGGCACCCAGGCTGCCAGGTGCGGCAGCACCCCCCGGTGGCGACAACCGAAAATGTCCCCAACACAGAGAAGGGCCCTGATTCC